AAACGTGAGGTTCCGCGCGATTGTAGGCATTTATTTCACGCAGGTATCAAGAGATCCAAATAAAGAGGGGCTGCCCGCAGGGTGGAGTTCTTTCACCTCTCCTGTGGAATATGGTTATAAATGAACTAATCAGCAAATTAAATTCGTTGGACAATGTCGCCGCTGTCCACCACCAGATGCCGCCACGCTCGCCGTCGACGATAGAGTGCGCTGAGGCGCCATGCTGCCCTCCCGAGGGGGGCATACCCCTGCCCGCGCCGGCCACTACAACCCGGACAATGAAGCAGAGGGAACAGTAGATAGAAGGCAACGAGGACATTCGTCGTGCATCGTCGCCGACCGCCCGGGAAGACACCCGCGCCGAAGAGCCACCGAGGGGCCACGCCGATTGCAGTACGAAGTCAAAGAAGACTATTCGCCCCAATAGAAAAATTTTCAAGGCTCGTGAAGAAGTATTGAAGATTAAACTGGAACTCGCACAGATCTCCTTACAGATGGCTGAAGAGGAAGATAAGTCGGACGACTATGTTGAAGATGGTTACTCCAAAAATGAGTACGTCCGATCTTGGCTGGAAAATTCCGTAGCCAAACAGAAGCCAACTCAAGTCATTTTATTTTTGGTGAACTTTCGTTCTTTAATTTTGAACAAAAGTTTATTTATTTAAAAATTTAATTAATACAAAAATTTTATTAAAAATTAAAATTAAAATAATTAATTTACCCTGCTGCTATTGTAGCGCCACGCCACCCTAATTTAACGCTTTTCCACGGACACTTTTTCATACACGAAGATTGTCCTCCTTACCTTTACCCTCCATAGTAGCAAGCTAAACTTGACCGCCGGTGGATTGTTGCTCTCGCTTTATCATAAAGCGACCCGGGCCACCGGCGGACCGGAGTAGCCATAGCCGTTTTTTCTCGTTAACTCGAGTTAGATCTCCCTAACTCGAGTTTGCGTTGGTTGTGCATGAACGAATCAAGCGAGCCAGGGAAAGAGTAAGAGTGCGATTCGTGCATTGTGTACGCGCTTTGTGCTACAAAGAGAATTAGCTACAACCAAAATAATTTGTTTGTACAGATTTACAGTAAATGATTGGACAGCTATCAGCTATTCATGGTGACAACATCATCGGAACCCAGTGGCGGATTTACACATTTGCCGCCAGTAGGCTATTCTAATTTTGCCGCCCCTACCTTTCTTCTACAATTCGATGCCCTAGTTCACAATCATATAAATTACAATTTGTTGTCAATGAAACTGTAACTTCATGATTTGTGCATAATCTTTTTAATTACACCCCCCTTTTCTCGTCATTAATATAATTATTGTGAACTAGTAAATCGATCAACGATTTAGTTAAGATTGCACAAGAAATAGCTTTTGGCTATATTACTGAGATAATAAAAGCTCAATCATGTACTTCTAATAAGGAGGGGTAAGATATGCCTTAATATTACTTAAACGTTAAACGTTATTAAATAATTTTTATTGTGGTTACTTACAGTTTAAAAGTAATATATTCAATTACATGTAGAAAGTTTAACAACACCTTTTTGCGTGAATTAAATTTTCTATTCGCAAAATAATCATTAATCGTCGGATGATATCTTGTTCATTAATTTTGAGTTCTAACTCTATGCACAAAATAGCTAAGGTGTTTAGCTTTTCTTGACTTTAGGTAGTTTAGTTTACGATGGGCTGTTTTTCACAACTCCACGACTAAGCGCGTATTTTGCGTGTGGACAGGAACAATGTAATTATTCGAGCGATGAAATCTCCCCGAAGAAGTTCAACAGTCCTTTGATGTTGCAAGTAACTTCAGGGACTGATCCCGGCGTGCCGAGATGTTGACTTTAGGTAGATCTTAGATAATTTTTCAGTCATTTCGCTTCGCTTACTTAAAATTAAACACCCGAAAAATTTGTCACTGGTGTACATAAATCCATGTGAATATGAACTGCTATATCCAAGTTTAGATAAACATTTTGAAAATTCTGGTTCCACAGGAACGAAGATAAAATTTTCAATGATTCAGAATCTGGTTTCATCAAAATTCTTTCAGAAGAAAGGTGGCATTGAAAATGTATGAATTTTTGAACTAAGTCAGTCTCTAAATCATTAGTATACATTTCTTCCAAGATAAGGGCTTTTTCTCTAAAGGCTGATCTTGATGGTGTTGTTGATTTTGGTCCGAAATCAAAAGTTTTTTGAACCAACACCTACCGTTTTTCTAATTCAGATACGACTCTATCAATGAGGACGAGAAATGTATTAGCCCTAAAAGTATCACTCGAAGTCATTCTCATTTCTTTATCAGGTGTCTTATCATATAATTTTTTCCTTTCCGGTTGTATTTTCCCCACGTCTTTTGTATATTGCTTTAACACGCTTAATTCGATATTTTTTTCTTGGAAATACTTAAAAATTTCTCGTTCAGCTACAAAGAACTGAAGAAGCGACAAGCTTCTGTGCAACATTCAGCAGCCGCAGTTGCCACTACATTTTAAGAGAGGACAGAGCAAGGAACGAAAAAAAGCAAAAGGTGCTTGGCTTTGAATCTATGCCATTGTACACACACCAGACATGTTTGCGGCATTATCATACTACGGCAAGAACCCTCTTGATAACGTTTTTCCAAAAAGTAATCTTCCAAAAAAATTGTGCCAGAGAAATATTAGTACGTATTAGAAATCGCACCAGCATTCAACCGAGGCAGCTTTTCTTTTGGTTTTGAAGTAAATACATCTATCTGTTTCAAACTCAATGTCAACACGCAGCGTACGCCTTTAACAGTAAGATCCTGCTGCGGCTCCCACAGCGGCCCCGCCTCGATCGTTCAGTCAATTCATCAGCGTTTACGTAGATAATATACTACATAGGGCAGGCATTTTGATCAAACACACTTAGCAAACGGTCATGTCACTCGTTTCCGCGCCACAACCAACCGCAAATTGTAGGAAAATTTATCCACCAAGTGAAAAATGAAAAAGTTTTAGCCCCTAATTCGCCGCCCCTAAAATCTTCCGCCCTAGGCGCCAGCCTACTCAGCCTGCTGGTAAATCCGCCACTGTCGGAACCGTATTCATTGACGGAGCTTTGAACGGAGAAAGGGTTGTTAATCTACTAAATGATACGGTGTCAGAATACACAAACAACTTAAACGTCCATCGATACCAACGAATGTGGTACCAATTATATGGCGCGCCAGCACACTCTGTAACAACAGCCAGGCTGTGGCTAAATGACACGTTTGGTGCACAATGGATTGGTAGGTTTGGACCTCGTAGGTGGCCAGCAAGATCGCCAGACCTCACGCCACTCGATTTTTTTTCTGGGTTGTATTAAAGACGATGTGTACGCGGAGAACGTGGATTCGGTGGAACAATTACGCCATCGAATAATAAATGCGTTTGAGAAATTGAGGGAAATGGATATAAGTGACAATTTATTTTCAAATGTGCGGGAAAACATGAAACGCCGTTTAACTCTTTGTATCCGCCAACACGGTGGTCTCATAGAAAATAAGAAAATTTAAAAGAAACACAAATAAAAGTATTGATTAGTGATGACAGTAATGATGTGTATGATTAACTAATAGTAACAAGAGAGGGTGATATGATAAGTGTTTGACAAAGCACCTCCGCTGTAAGTACTCTCCGTTGCCGCTTCTTTGATAATAAGCGGTCAAAGAATCGGACCGATTATGAGTAGGTACAAGACGCGTTGCGCGGTTGTCAGCACGCGAAGCGACGCCGATGAAAATAAATATCATTGTTCTTCTAAGTTTTCTTCTGTGAATCGTTTTTACAGCTTGGCACTGCACATTTCACCATGGTAACTTAAAATTCAAACAAATACCGTCGAGAGAAACCATTGACCTAGTAGTAGGCCAATGAGAGCAACAATTAACGCACGTGATCTTTCGTGATTAATAACGTGGCCCTTGCCATTTAATACCCGTGCTTACTGTTAACGCGCGCTCTATAGCTTGCTTATAATTATCGATTTTTATACAACATACATAAAAATTATACGATTTTTCGTATTAAATGAACTATTAGTGGAAATGATAAATGAAGTGCTCCAATGTTGATTTCAGTCTGCTTAGGTGCTTTAAGAACTTTATATGGGGTATGTTCCGATATACACTGTCACCACTGTAAGGTGTGATGTCCATTCAGTATACTGTGAAGCCATTCCTTTTTAGTTTGCTATACTGGTTACTGTTTAAAACGAAACGCAGTCCAGTATACTGTCACACCCATTTTTAGACACAGTTTTCCAATGAAAAAATTTACCATGTATACGTTTTCTGTTCAACAAAAAAAAATTACTTGAATGTTGTTGCTTTTAAAACTGAATGTCCGAGTTTATTTGAATAACAATATAATAACAACCATCCTTGGAAGCTGTTCCTAGGGTACTGCGGGAATTTACTGGCAGTCCATAACGGAACAAACTTTTCATCGGTGAGAGCACAGCAGTGCTCGCAGTGTTTATCGGAACACACCCAAGTGTCGTCGTAATCATCTGTGAAAACACGTCAAACTAGGCTGTATATGCTTAAGTATCTTTGCCTGTAAATAAAAAAAAGAACGTCATCACTGTCATTCGTCATAAAAAATTATCAGGCTGTATGGCTTCGTTCCTTTGCCTGCTCTCTCGAGCGAATAATAAAAACAACAACAACAACAATCATAAAAAAATTATTTACAATTTCCTGTATAGGACAGTTACTATACTCTTTGTTTACAATTGACAAGTACCGTAACGCGCCGTGTGACGTCACTTTCGAAGTCCAAAATTTTTTAACTTTGTTTATAATTTACCTGATTAAAATAAGCCCTATAAATTAATATATAGAGATTTGAAATAATTTTCGTTTCACTAACCAGTTTTACTATTTATTATAGTAGTGAAAGTAAGAACAAAATATATTGCGTCATAATTCATAATTATTGGTTGTAAAAAAATAACACAGAATATCCAGAGAGTTTCTATGTTATTGGATGAAGATTTTTCTACGATGCCATCCGATAAGCGGCCCAGACGAGGTCTTAGCGATGCTGACGATGAAGATGAGGATTATAGAAGAAGGAGAGACAGAAATAACGAGGTACTTTTAGTGTTTCATAAATCTTAAAAGCCTTTTGCCTTTCCTGCTGATTGCTATATTTACCGAGTAAAATATTATGAAAAAAGAACCTATATAAATGCTGTGATTATGACTAATGATTGTCAGATCTATATTAGAGTATGTTTCTCAGACAGTCATAATATCGAACGGATTCAAAAAAATTTGTTTCCCATTTAAATTTCAAATTTAGACATTTTGGCTTTTCATATCGTGATTGCATATTTTACGGTCTGTTAATGCTTGAAGAAAGATGTACTCTGCTGGATACGGGATTTTATTCAATATTTTACATGGAGGAATTGACTGCCCTGACTTATTAGCTTACATTAAATTTAACAGTGGTTTTTTTCAACAGTGGTAGAGCCACGTGACGGCTTTTGCTGTCGCACGGATGGGCGGGCTCGAACCGGGGTACCACACCTCACAGAATACCAGCGTGAAGTAGAGGTTTACCTCTGCGTTTCGCTTGGTGAGTGCAGGTGGCCGGAGGCCCTTTTTACTGGAAATGAGGCATTCCATCTTAGTCCTCACGGGTGACAACGCATCTGCATTTTGATTTGTAATAGAGGATTGATGTAGATATCTATGGGCCGCAGCAACCACTTACCATCAGGTGGACTGTGTGCTCGTTTGTCACCCCTATCCCATAAAAAAAAAATAACATCCCAATGAAACATACCAGACATACCAGAAACTTAATGTTTTACATCCCCTTTCACCCGGCCAATTATGGCAAAAATGGTGTTCTGACGCACTACCTAATGCGTAAAAAAGAAAACTTCGAAGAAAAAATTTTGCTCAATTATTGATCCTTTTAATAGTACTAAAAGTGGATTCGAAAATAAAAGTAACAAGTTTTTACTTACTACAGTTGAAAGTAATCAGTAAATTGTAATTAAAAAGGTACTTAAATTATTATTTGTGCCCTTGTTTAATTCTGTAATTCTTTCATTATTATAAATGTATATGTTGTACATACATAATACATAAACACTCACGCCTGTCACCCAGAGGGGTAGGCAGAGATTATAGACTTCCATTTGGCACGATCCTGACACACCTCTCTCGCTTCCTCCACATCCATATACCTACGCATACACGCTCGTCGGTTAAAGGTACTCTTGATTTGGCCCATTTTTAATATATCGCCAATTTGGTCGATAAACTTTCGCCTAGGGCGACCCTTCCCGACTATGCCGTTCACCTCTGCAACATAAATTTGCTTTGTCACTCTTTCCTCATTCATTCTTTCTACATGGCCAAACCACCGAAGCATTCCTTTCTTAATCCTGGTCACGACATCATCTTGCAAACCACACTCTTCTCTTATTAAACAATTTCTCACTCTGTCATTCAGCTTCATCCCTAACATACTCCTTAATGACCGCATTTCTACAGCATTTATTCTACTCTCATGCTTCTTCTGCCACACCCAACTTTCACTACCATACATTAAAGTAGGTACTAACACAGCATTGTGAATACATGCCTTTTTGGACACATTCTGACTTTTCACAATAGAGTGTAGAGCCCCATTCACTCTATTTCCTGCATTCACTCGTCGTTCTATATCCTTATCATATCTACCATCCCTGCTAAACACACATCCCAAATATACAAACTCATCTACTTGCTCTACCAACTCCCCTTCTATTCTTATTTCACATATCGTTTTGCTATCTTCTCTTTCAAAAACCATAACTTTCGTCTTACTTGCGTTCACTTTCATTCCCTTTTCTTTTAATGTCCTGTTCATTAATGTAACCATCATTTGCAACTCGGCTGCCGACAATGCAAGTATGACTTGATCATCGGCATACAAAAGGCATTTGACGGTTAACTCACCCATTCTTAACCCGCATTCTTCTACTTTCATATTTTCCAAACAACTGTCCATAAATAGGTTGAACAACCACGGGGAAGCCACACAGCCCTGTCTGACATCTTTATGGATGCCAAACCAGTCAGAGTAGGCCCCGTTGATCCTGACACAAGCACTAGAGTCCCTATATAGAGACTTCAATGCCTGTATCAGACCAGGGGTCAACCCAGATGAGTTCAGTGTTTGCCATAACACATCCCTGTCCACTCTGTCATAAGCCTTCTCCAAGTCTATGAACGCCCAAAAAACTTTTTGGTTTTTGGCCAAAAACTTCTCCGCGATCATGCGCATGGAAAAGACCTGATCCGTACATCCCATTCCCTTTCTAAATCCCGCTTGCACATCCCAAATTTTTCCATCAGTTTCTTTCATAACTCTTTCAATTAGTAGTAGTAGTGTATATGTTGTATGTGTATCTATGTCTTTATCTATTTTCTATAATAACAATATCACCAAAATATATTTGCATTTATATATTTATATGTGTGTGTTTTTTACGAGTACATAAGTTACATTCCATTAGTTTTATTAGCTCTTTTCGGTCATCAGTACCACTAATAATATTGATAATTACTTTGTGGTAAGGATATATAGAAATAAAATTCTTACAGCTTTAGTGACCGGTTGTCACAATATATGCCCTCTGAAGTTCCCTATGAAAAGTTTGTCTGGAAGAAACCTCTTCCAAAGTAACATATTTATTTTAAATTGTACTAACTTCCTTTCTGTCACACAAACACTAAAGAGTAAATAATTAAATATGCCCAAAACTCACTAAAGCACTTATCATACTATATTTTTTATATAATAACAAAACTATTAATTGTATAATAACAATTTTTTATTTTATTTACAGGCTGTAAAAAAGAGTAGATTTAAATCAAAACAGCGTACCCAAGAGACATTTACAAGAGTGAACAAATTAAAAGCTGAAAATCAAATGCTGGAAGAAAAAGTGAAAACCCTAACAAAAGATCTCCAATTTCTGAAGGATTTGTTCCTTGAGTATGCATCAAATTCACAGAGCTCAAAATTTGCAGGACTTGATTTAGAAAAACTACTAGAGGATGTGGAAGATGATAAGAAGGATAGTAAAAATAGCAAGTGAATGAGTGTTTTTAATGAAACAGTTATGTATGTTGTAAATATACATAACAACAATAAGTGTATAATTTAGGCTGAAAGTATGGCAGGTGTAGTACAATTTTTTTTGTCATCAATATAACACGATATGAGGGTTAATATTACTACTGACGAAAGATTTCAAACGAATTGTTGTAGTATGTGCCCAAAGTTTACACATTAAGCTTTTATTCTACGTAGGCGCTGCACAAACAGGTAAACTTTTTGTTACCGACATGGCACACCATCACAGGAAAAAGTAGTCGCTGTGTCCGGTAGCGGTAACCGGACACAGTCGCTGGTTGCTAGATCTGGTTCATCTGGTTCATCAACAATTTCTTGCTTGTTTTCCGTCAGTGTCAGCTTGTATGTCGATGGAGGAACATTACCTTTGCTTGTTGTGTTGATTACGTGTTGACGTAGACGTCGTCGCCGTCAATATTTACAGGCAAACCAACCACGTCAATGTCAGCGCCGTACAATTGTAAGGAAATTTGCTTTGTGTTGCTTGTGTCTTCAACTGACGACTTAAAGTTTCCAGTTACCTACATTGAACGTTTTTTGATGTGGAAGCAACTGGACACAAAAAGTGTCTGCGTCTGCTCAAGGAATTACAGATTCCATATTGATTATATGAAAATAAAATATTCATACAAGCTACCAGAGCTTGTATCTCACAGAAGACAAGTGTCTACGTTTACGCAGCGCCTTAATCTAATGCTGAATTGGGGAAAATTTATACAAAGCTCTAATAAGACAATTATAGCAAAGTTTCTAAAACTTGGATGTGGTACATTTACAACTGTATCCATAGTGTCAGCTGAAGACAATAATTGTATATGTGATGGTAATATATAAAATGCATTTTTTATGTGATTGTATGTTTTTTGTTATATAGAAAATTACTTGGCTATTATCTCAGATTGTTGTCACACTCTTTATTTTGGGTGCACTAATTACTGATTTCTTATTAAATTAATCATCTGTGGGGGCTCGCTAGAAAACCTAGATATCTAAAAGCAACTAATTACTTGTATGAGAATACTAGGCATCTGATAGATATATATTATATGACTATAACATCTCATGGAGAAAATTAGTGTCTTGGATATTTAAATTAGCTATATTAATTTGTTTTTTAATTATAAGATTTATACTTTTTAAAATATTGAATTAAAATATATTTTTTTATTTAGTTCCTTTTACTTATTTTAAAAACCCCATTTATGTTTACATCTTTCTTAAAGTTTTATTTAGGTTAATTTTATTAGTTGTAGAATATTGTAAATAAAGTTGATAATTTTACTGTGACAAGGGAAATATAATTTTATAAGTAAACTGATATTTTATTTAGAAAAAGAAGTCAATTTCATTAAAACTTGCACATTTATTTTATGGGTCTCCAATAAAATGTATACAATTTGTACATCGGCTGCCTGTATCGAGCTTAACTGAGCTTTTATAGAACCAATTAAGGGGCTACTCCATGCGAACGACCTTGAGCATTTTGCCGGCAGCGCTCGCTTCAATATATTGCCCTATTGTAGGTAAGAACGTAGTATTATTTTTTCAACATCAATAAACTAATTTATGGAAATACACACTGCGTACAACGATAAATATATTTTAATTTTTTTATTCTGTATATTAGTTGCATTATATTAGAATTATGTATTTTCATATATTATCTAATTATGAAATTTTATAATTAATTAAGTTATATTAAAAATGAAGCATTGAAAATTGTGAGTTTAAAAGATACCTATTCACTATAGGCAAATAAATAGATAGCTCGCCTTTTGTACAAATATTTGGTGCAATAAAGAATAAATAAATAAATAGGATGTTTCGTAGATGTGTTTTTGATTATTGTTAATTTTTACGTGTCACGTATTGAAAAGTAACATATCTACCTACAAATTTTTGAACTGAGCACCTTGTAACTTAGCCTGCTTATTAATTATGCTGGCAGACATTATCCTCGGCCCAATGATTGATGAGGATGAAAATCAATTTTATTTCTACATACGTAATTATATTTATTTATACATAAGGGTAACTTTAATAAAGGTAATACAAAAATCAATAAGAAGTATAAGGGTTCAATCTTTCAATTTCAATTGTAAAAAAATGTTACCCCCACACTAGGATTTTCTCCTGTGTCGTGGAGGCAGTTTACAAACATAAATTGCACAAGGACAAACATCCAGACCCGGAACAATTATTTGTAGGCCATACAAATACTTGTTCCGTGCGAGATTCGAACCGCGGCCCCCAGCACAACAACTGATTGCTAAGCTACTGCGCCACGGAGCCGTCGCCGGGTTATAGCTAAAGTGACCATACGTCCCGTTTTGAACGGGACTGTCCCTTTTCTCGGTCACCTGTCCCATTGTCCCCAAACAAAGCTCCGGGACACAAAATTGTCCCGTAACTCGTTGGATGGAAGTATTCAAAGTCAACAATCTTCAACATAATTTTTTTTAATCGAACATATTTTGTCTACCTGGTACGAATGCTCCGGTAGAAAGAGTATTTTTTTTAATTTTGAATAAATTGTGGACGTTTGAAAGAAACACTTACGGTTCCAGTTATGTATAATAAGGGTAACTTTAATAAAGGTAATACAAAAATCAACAAGAAGTATAAGGGTTCAATCTTTCAATTTCAATTGTAAAAAAACGTTACCCCCACACTAGGATTTTCTCCTGTGTCGTGGAGGCAGTTTACAAACATAAATTGCACAAGGACAAACATCCACACCCGGAACAATTATTTGTAGGCCATACAAATACTTGTTCCTTCGAACCCGCGGCCCCCAGCGCAACAACTGATTGCTAAGCCACTGCGCCACGGAGCCGTCGCCGGGTTATAGCTAAAGTGACCATACGTCCCGTTTTGAACGGGACTGTCCCTTTTCTCGGTCACCTGTCCCATTGTCCCCAAACAAAGCTCCGGGACACAAAATTGTCCCGTAACTCGTTGGATGGAAGTATTCAAAGTCAACAATCTTCAACATAATTTTTTTTAATCGAATATATTTTATGTCTACCTGGTACGAATGCTCCGGTAGAAAGAGTATTTTTTTATTTTGAATAAATTGTGGACGTCTGAAAGAAACACTTACGGTTCCAGAGTTCTAAAGGCGATGTTGTTAACAAAGATAACAATAAAAAAACTTGAGCAGAATTTTATTTTTATTTAAAATCATCACCAACTTAAAATTACAACTTTAATATTACTAAAAATTAAAGCAAATTTAATCCACTGACAAATGTAATTAATAATTAAAAAATATATGTTGCATTTAATAATTTCCGTCTATACCGAATATAATTTTACAGTGAACACTAATTGTATAAAGTTATAGTTTTTAGAGTATAAATAAACCCATGCCCTGTTTTGAGTTAAAAAATAAATGGTCAGTTTAGTCTTTTTAGTTAAATTTAGTTTTAAAAATGTTTAGTTAATAGTAAAAAGTAGGTATATTAGTACCTACTTAGATACTTTTTACCGAATTATAAGTATAGAACACCTTATGTACTCAATTATTTTTTGAAAAAGAAGAAAAAGCAATAAATAATATACTATATTTTAGCAAAAAACTATAACTTAGTAATACTAATTATAACTTAGAACATAAATGAAAAACTCATAACTGACTTTTTGGCCCGACCCAGCATTCGAACCCGGGACCTCATGATCAGCAGTCGCACTACTACAACCACTACACCAACGAGGCAGTACTATACTTAATAAGATATTGTGGTTGGGTGATAATATTGAATTAGCCTTTTATAGTGTAAATTATGATATTTATCGAAATTTTAATTATGGATTCGAAACTTACATGCTAATGGTGCTTCATTTTTTTATTTGCATTTACTTCAAAGAAAATACACGCAAAAAGCTTCATCGCGCAGTAAAAAACACAACAAATATATGTATAACCAATACGAAAAATTATACCCAAAACAAACAAATAATACTACCTATAAATAACCTAATAAGTAATAATATAATCGACTGATATGACGTGGCGTATGCGCTGGTCGACGCTCTAACGACACGGGCTTCACGTCGAAGAGCTCAGGGCTCACTGACTTCAGCAAGCCCGTGAGCAGTGAATATGCCCAGATTTTAAAATAATTTCTTAATAAAATCAAATTTTGGTCTTTTGAAAAAAAATTTACTATAAAAATGTTCATTAATAAATTGCCTATCCATTGGTGTAAATCGCAAAATAAAATAATACTTTACGAGGAGATGCATGTTATCAATAATAATTTCACATTTATGTGGTTTCGTTGTAAGGAGATTATATTAATATTTATTCCATTAAAAAAAAAATTGGACATAGCTTTTATGGAATCAAGATTATGTAGAAATATAATGTGTTTTTTATTTGTTGATATATCTTTTAAATAAAAAGTAGATAGCTCCTAAAAACCGCACAAATAACCTGCGCCTTAAAAGAAAAGTCTTCAAGTTTTTGTTTTAATTGGTTCTTTTATTCCTAATAGAATATATATTTTTTCTTGTAATAGAAAGATATTTAACAGGAAGTTAACAACCAGAAGCAGTTATTGAAGCTAGAATAGAAGCTTGGGTTAAGATGCAATATGTGTACAGACAAAGCAAAAAATCATGCTATTTTAGCCATGATAGGATTTACAGGGTTATTTTGCAATAACCAGCTAAATTTGCAGAAAAAATTCAGAGTTAGTAATATAAGGAAATGGTGAAGAAAAATTAATTAAAAAAAATCTCAAACATTTTGTTTTTTTAGGGTTCCGTAGCCAAATGGCAAAAAACGGAACCCTTATGGATTCGTCATGTCTGTCTGTCCGTCCATATGTCACAGCCATTTTCCGAAACTATAAGAACTATGCTATTGAAACTTGGTATGTAGATGTTTTCTGTGAACTGCATTAAAATTTTCACACAAAAATAAAAAAAAACAATAAATTTTGGGGTAAAATGTGT